AATGTATTATATTAATAACAAGGTTGGATGGGACGCTGATATCTAATCGAGACGCAGCTTGTTTAATTTTCATCAATTGCCGCACGAAATTTATCTTCCGACGTCGGCGTTAAAATTTTATGCCGAGTAACGATTATGATTGACGCGAGTCGTTTTATTTTACTCTCGGTTGTTACACGCGATCGCGGCGTTGCCTTCGCGATCTATAAATTTCATTGTCTCGTCGATACGCCTGTCACGCTTAAATTCAACTTGAGCAGCAGGATAGTGAAAAAATTTACATACCGCGTTAATGGTACTTGCGCAATCTACTGCCGTGGTTGCACGTAATCAAATTGGGATACGCTCTCCTTGTTCAATTAAACGTGTTATTTTCTTTCGAAATCTGAGTTCCTTCGGTGATTCATAATACATCGCTCGACTGAAACTATTTTTCAATTTAATTTTTTTCTCAATTAAGTGTTCTCGAGAGAAAACTTCTGATTACATTTTCCACTTTCGGAAAATTAGACGTTCGATTATCATACAAGGTCTCTTTTGTATATACTGAAAACCGATAGAATGGAATATATTTGAAATATGCTAGTTTCCTCAATAGCTGGAGGGTTTGGGAAGAATCGTAGCATCGATCATGGTCGCGACATTAATTTCAAAAGGAAAATTACCAGCGTTCCGAGTCGCTGAAAATTCATAAGGAAACACCTTGCGCGAGTGGTAGTTTTATCGCGTCTGTGATTCACCGACAAAGATCGCGACTGTGTCGCGATATCGTTCGAGATTACGGGATTTATTGCGTCGTGGAACGTTCGACGATTTCGCGAGTAAATAGGTCAGTGCAGGTCGATAATTGGCTCTCGTAAATTCCTGACTCGCTTCGAGACGGTTTTATGCCCCTTGGTAGCTTCACTGACGAAAAGTGGTCGATCCTGTACGGTGTCACGCCATAAATTACCGCGAGTAATAATTTCTTTTATGACGTACCATCGTTTCGGTTTAATTCCTAGCCGGGTTCTCTATCTTTGTACCCGGAGACCCTCGCGGACGACATCTTTAAATCATCCGAGTGTTTTACTGCTTCGACCGTTAATTCTCGTTTAGCCAAAAGAGTGCTTTCGAGCCAGTTTTCTCATAACAATGGCTGCATTTAAAACAAGGACGATCAGAATTGCGCAACGTTCGCTTAATAGAAAACAGAGAGGACGCCAGCCAGCGGCCGAAATTTATATCGTATTTCGTGCGTAAAATTCGTCACGTTATTCTCGCCATTTTTATAACTATGTAAATTAATTAATGTCAGGAGAAACGAACGATCTTCAAACGTTTCTCTATTTTAAAATCCTTATTTATCATCTTTCTCATTTCATCCCTCAAAATTTAATCTCGATTCTTTTTTTAATAACAATTCATTGCCACAATCCAGTGAATGTATTTTTATAAAATTATATAAAAGACGTAAACGTTATAATAAATATTAAACTTGCACCTAGTAACAACAAATAGACATTGATATCTACTATGTACAACTTGTTTACGTTCCGCATGTGTTCTCAATATTTATTTGACATCTTTAAAAAAAAAGGAGAAAAACACAAAATATATAATTTTTACAACTATCATCGAATAAAAAATGACTAATGAATTAGCTGATTTTACGAAAGCGCGATTAATAATAGAAAGTTCTCGGGCAAGTTGGGTTTTACGATGTGAAAAATGTAAGGTGCATTTCGCTCGAGAGCCCTGTATTTCAGAAAGTATCGGGCGAAGCAAACAGGGACATTAACGTGAGCGAGAGCACTTCCGGGGTGGTGGGCGAGTTCCGGCAGGAAAACAAAATACAACCCAGTTCCGAATCTTTCAAGGTTTCCGATTCTTGCCAACTTCTGGCATCGTCGTAAAGCATGTCTTTGAATCGTTTAGCTCGGTAACGTTTCTGCGCGCACTTAATTTTTCTGTACTGCCGGTTTCACACCATCTATCTTCCCTAATGTTCCCCCAAGCCGTGGCTGGAACGGTAAGAAACCCCGTCTCGCCGAGAAAGTTAATAAATTTCCGTACTGAAAATAGACTGAAACTTGGACAGCAGTTCATTTCGAGTGGCTTAATGGCTGACGCGTTGATCGACTTTGCTAGATTTCAATTAATATCACGCCGCAGTTTCCAGGCTGGTTCCTTATACGTTATAGACTTCCGAGTGCAATTGATTGATCATCGTCGTTCGACGAATTCTAAATGGCCGTCGACGAGAGCTTGTCGACTCCGATCGTTGTCAAGTCTTACGACGCTTCTTAACGTATCGTTGTTGTCAAATTTAAGTGTATGACAATTCGTTATTAAAATTAACATGGTTCCTAAGATTTCCCAAATGCAGCGTACATTCGAAATTACTGCCAATGTCGTTTAATTCTCTGGACTGTTAAGAAAGATTCGTGAAATAGTCGAAGCTGGTAGGCTGAGAAACGGAGTAACGTCCGTTCAACCTCCATTTTAAGAGGGTGCCGTGATTACCTCAGTCTATCGATTCGACGTTTCGAACTCGAGGCAGAATCCCATCAAACCTATCTTCTTCTCAATCAGAAACTGCGTATCGATACAGAAGGAAGGTATTATAAGAGACGTTGTTTAAAATGTTATCTACAGAGAGTTCCAAAATCGTTAATTACTAACAGAAGCTTCCAGACTGGACCTCATATTTTGGAGTAATCCTTGAAACATACTGTCAGTTTTATGTCTCATAATATTCCTTCTTCTTTGCTTCTTTTTTACGTTTTACATTCTCGTATTTTGTTTCCTTTGGTGTCCTAATAATAAATTCTTCTTCGATCAACCCCCTGTCCAGTCTGTAAATAACATCTAGGAGGGTGTAAAATACGAGTTTGAAAGGGGCAATATTGCAAATTTGATGTCTCACAAAATTCATTACTTTCTAAGGGACAAATTGATAGTAGAGAATGCAATTTTTCCATTCGTGGTTTCGTTTTCCAGGAAATTTTGAAAACTCAGCGCGAACGACATAAGTAGAAACAGAGAGTGATGAACAGACGCGTCGAAGCAACATGAATGGGAAAAATTTCGTTTCTCATCCGTTTCATCGAGTGTTTATCGAACATATGCAACTTATAATACGCATTGAAGTTTAACGTAACGATAAATAAACTGATACGAGTACGTTTTCGCTCCTCCACCGCTCATGAGTTTTTTCTTGGACCAACCCCCTGTCCAGCCTGCAAACGAGGCCTAAAAGGGTGGAAAACGCTTGAGGGGGGATACTGTAGGTTCGCGCGGAGTTTGACACGTAAATTTATTCGAGCATAACCGATCTGGCAGACGTTCAAGACGGACGCTCCACCAACCCCGGGAGAAACCCGCCGCTGTTTTACGATCAAAGTTCAGAACGACATTTGCACCGAGGCTCTTTCGCCTCGGTTCCGTGGCCGATGCCGTCGTCGCCTTTGTACTATTTCTTCTTCGCGGTGCTTCCATTCCGACCTCCGTCCCAGCCACGTCCCCGAGGTACGCTTCGGTGATTCCTGGGAGCGACTACGAGCGTCGTTTCCGTCGTGCTGCGAGCACAGAATTTCCATCTCGATAATCCTGACCGGTTTTCGCGTGACCCCGACGAACCCCCTGTTCCTCGGGATCGACCGAACCGACGTTCCGACACGGGGTCGTTCGTTGCTTCGGGAATCCGTGGCCGCGCGGAAGGTTTTATTAGCCTCGTCCGTTACTACTGAGATAGGAACTTCGACCGCCGAATGGAACGATTCTTCGCTAACCTTTGACTTTAACCGTTAGTCATCCATTTTTCCCCCTCAATTTTTGTTGGTATCGATCGAAATGTAATGTTCTTTGTGTTAATTCCTTGTATTATCGTGTCCAGGATACGGGGACCTGTTGGGACCAACGATGGGGTCAAAGGTCCTCCCACGTGTGAATTTTCTCAGAGCTTTTCCTTTTACTTGTGAATATTGTTATTCTTCTATTTTCGATCAAAATGTAAGTGTGCTTTCAACAGTCTATTTTCGATCTTATTTTGTCCAGAATACGAGGACCTGTTGGGACCAACGATGGGGTCAAAGGTCCTCACACGTGTGAATTTTCTCAGAGCTTTTCCTGTTACTTGTGAATATTTTTATTCTTTTATTTTCGATCAAAATGTAAATGTTCCTTCAATAGTCTATTTTCGATGATCTTATTGTGTCCAGGATATGAGGACCTGTTGGTCAGAGGTCCTCGACGCAGAGTCTATTGAACTCTGTCTCATAGTTAAAACAATGTATGTTATCACTTGCACGAAGGTATTTGTAACAAGAATAAATTTAAGTTCGAAGACCGCAATTTTCCAATTTTTATTTCAAGTCGAAACGTACGATCGAACGAAGGCAATATATTTCTTTGTAGTATGAAATTATTAGTACGGCAGAAAATTCTCAGATTGTTCCCGAACGAATTACCCAGCGACATCGATGTTTTCCCTGTAACTGGAAAAGTTTCCATGGTATTCCAGTGACGTCAGCGGCGCTTAATTAATATCCCGATTTAACGAGGCGGTCTGAAGGACCGAATAAGAAACATTTTCGACGAGACGAAATTTTAATTGCGACCGGCGGCGATTAAAAAAAAATCATATGCCCGACGTTGAGTGCACTCGCGTTACCCTGCATTTACTTTCGTTCTTGAGAATTGCCGGTGCAAAAAGTTTTTCGTGGCACCCTTTCACTTTTTCTTTCCCTCCTTTTCATTCTCTCTTTCGTTTCGTTTCGTAACCGAACAGCGCAAAAAATTGAGAAACGTTTGGACCCTGATACATTCAATTAATTGTGGCGCACTTTCTCGTGTCTACGATTCGTCGATTTTTGCCCGTCGTATCGCGATGAATTTTTCAGGGAAACGATCGTTAAACGCATCGTGGATCGTCGAAATGGAAATTGTAATCGACGATGAATTTCGTTAATAGCACTGCTGTTTCTCATATTAACCAATTTTTTTCTTTTTTGTTGTAGAGTGACAACGGGCTAGTGGACGCAGGTCCAGGTCGAATTAGCAGCATGACAGCCATCAACTCGGTATGTAACTATTAAGGCAAAACTATGTCGCCTGTTAATTGCAATTTCTCCCATTTTGGCTTTCTAATAAGCAAAATTGACAGAGTTACGTTTTCCCTGTAACATTTCTAATTAATTCAAAACTAATCGAACGCTTAATTCATAATGCAATTAAATTAGTTTCAACAATTATTCGCTACATGTTTCGTTAGTAAAAAATTGCTTTAGAGTGTTACTCTTCGTATCGAAGAAATTTTGCATTCAAATTTTGTTTCTACATTAAGAAACGACAACTTCAACAATTAAATGTTATTTCCAAAACTTTGTTCGTCCAACAAATACTACATTTTTTCTACAACGGGGAATTAATAAAACAGTTATTGTTCGACAATGCTGACTTTTGCTAAAAGATACGCGTTAATAATGTTTACTTTACAACAAACTACTCCTACATTCAAATATTGATTCAATATACTCCTTCATACTTGGCACGTTATCATGAAAAAGAGTGACGATAATGCGTCCATCCCCTTCGAACTGTGTTTCATGAAATATGCAACTAATCGCTTCTCGTAAAAGGCACATACTACGTCCGTCTCCCCCACTCCGTCCATTAATAACTCAGCAATGTCGCTAGCATGACCGTGTATATCCTTTCTCGGGTACTACGCATTGATCATATCGTCGAGTAAACACGGCGACGCATATTTTTAGCAATTAAACCGATGGGTTTGTGGAAATTGAAACGGAGGTGTAATTTACTTTTTATCCTACACGCAGAAGTAAATTTTGTCGTACGAAGCTAAACGAGACGACTAGAATCACTTATTTTAGTATAGCAAAACTGCAAAGTTCTCCAAGCCCGGACCACAAGTTTGTAATCAAGCAGATTCAAATTTAGGCAACCAAAACGACAGTTTTCGACCGAAATGGACTCCAAGGGGGGGGGGGCATTGTTCCCCAATTACTCTCGAGTTGCTTTTGCTTTCAAAGCAGAAGGAAAGTTATCTAAAAAAAACCCAAGTCTTTGAACGAGAGTCCTATTTGGGAGTTCCATTACTTCTTTCGGGTACGTTTTTTCGATAGAGACTTTAGACCTAGTTTCGACTTCTTACGCGAATGCTTGTAAATTATCCGTAAACCGTAAACAGTGTCGTGGAACACCACTGTTTATCTTTTGTGGAGAATGACGATGGTTCTCCAACGCGTTTTCACCGTGATTAAATACTTTTAAACGGAATTTATGGCGGGGCTGGGTACTCCGTGCACCTCGAGCCATAGAAATTCCCTCCCGTTTGCCAGACAGAGAAGACTCCGGGCCTCGCGATATGGAAATGAGCCAGTGGCTTGGGGGAAACGTAGGTGGCACACCTCGTGGGAACGGTCTGTAGAGCGACACGACGTATTTGAAGGTTTACACGCGCCGGTACCGCGGACTTTTTCCACCGAGAGATCTTGGAATTTGTGTCCATCGAAGACGAAGGCACGCGCGGGAATTCCGTTGGACCTCTCGAGCTGGCTTCTCCCGAACCATCATCCCCCTCTTACCAAAACTCTTTCATTTTCCTCTCGATCCTTCCTCTTCGTTTGCCGCGTTTCATGGAATTCGGTCCACCAATACCGTCTCCGTGAGTTTGTTCTGCCGTGGGCTCCTCTCTCTGGAAGAAAACGCGGGTTCGATCCTCTGGATTCAGATTCGACGACAGTTTCCAGCACGAAAGAGGGTGGAAAGATGGTAGATTTTAGTTAATTTGTCAGTAGTAATCAATGGTCGATCGAGCACTTATGAGAAAGCATAGCCCTCTACTGGCGAACGTATAAAACGACTGTTCTACAGTACCAAAGTTTCTGATAGTCAGTAATAGATTTTTAGTACGAGAAAGGAAACATTTCGTTCAAGTCGCAGTTTCGAAAAGTAGAAAAGAAAGTGCTTCAGAAAAAATATTAAACATTCTCTTAAATATAGAAAAATTCTACTCTGTTTAATTCTTAGCCTCAGTACAGTTCGTAATTCCTTCCTACAGCTATCGTTAATGAGAAATTTCAGTTTTGATTATATTTTGTGAAATTTGTTGAAGCAACTCAAATTTTTTTATGTAAATAAATATACGTCAGTATAAAACTATTAACAAGAAAGTAGTAAACTCTTTTATGAAAGAGAACCGAACGATCGAAACGTATAAATAAATAAAAAATTATATGTATATTAAAATATTGAAATATTTGAAGGCAAGTTTTCTAAAATATTGCCCGTACGAAAATTGGTCGAGGTTAAGGATGATTGTAGGCCAGCTCTGTAGGGTCTCAGGTAGGAATCGAAGATAAGAATTCGCGAAAAAAAAATTGTTTACCGAACGTTGGACAGACATCTAGGACTAATTGCATTCTTGGAAAGGTTTCTGTAGTATTACGTGCCTCTCGAATCGCCGTGAACTGTTATTCATTGGTTCGTAGACGTGCTCGGGCTTACCAAGGGTGGTGGGGCGAGATTCTGTGACTCTTAGCTTCTGTTCCCCAGTATTGTAATTACAGTCGAAACGCGTGCACGTGTTCATTCCCGCTGCGGAAGTTTAAAATTGTGCGAACGAGATGCTCGATGCTTTCCGATACAGAAACACGACGAGTGTTACAAACATATTGGACGTGTTACGGAAACATTTCAGAAGAAATCTTCGAACCTCGAGGTGGGTGAGTTAATTTTAAATTTCGTCTCGGCGGAGGCGCGTAACGAACGTCCAGAACTTTTCGCTATTGAGAATATTTTCAATTATAATTCGATATAAACGGGCACGGTGTCTGATTTGTTTGGACGAAGGCTGTTCTTACAGCCTTAACCAAGCAAACAATCGTCAAATGTATAGATCAAGTAATTACATTGTCTGCTAGCTACTGAATCAGACGTTAATATCAACCGACATCGCATACCATTTTATAATAATATTCATCACTTTCTAATGTCAAATTTATAATTTATTGCAGGTTGAAAGAAACACTATCCTGATTATATTCTTCAGAAACAATATCATTAAAATTTGTTTGATTCAGTCAACGATAATATTCATCACTTTCTAATGTCAAATGTATAGTTTATTGCAGGTCGAAAGAAACATCTGCCCCTGATTAAAAATATTGTGGTCTACGAATAAAATACTATCCTAATTATATCCTTCAGAAACAATGTCATTAAAATTTGTTTGATTTAGTCAACGATAATACATAGAATCGTAATTTATCTGTTGCATGACGAATCGAGTGAGTTTTACGTGGTTGATCCTAAGTTTTAATGGCTTTTTCCCCAGTGTAAATTAGGGTGTGGAATTTGTCCACTCCACGTGCCAGAAAACTACCATTGTTTAATAGCTACAGGAACGTTTAGAAATACACCGGTAGCACAGTTGGTCTAAATACCGTTTTAATAGTTGAGACACTCATGCGTGGAACGGGTGAGCAAGTGCTTGCACTTCGGGAGCCATATTTTAGGCGACGGCTTGTGCACAAGTTGTGAGTTTCGTACGTTTGAATCTTTGTTTTAAAATTATAATGAAGACAATTTCTGAAGGAGTAATCGTAAACGTCCAATTCAAACAAACTCGAGTTACTCGCAAGATCGGTCCTATTCGTCAAAAATTATTATCCATTTAATGGTTCGAACAACTTTCTCAAAGGAAATCCGACTAACCGAACAGAACGTGGAAACTAGATTCGAAACCGTTATTGAGTCTAAAAACAAACAGTTCTCTAAATTGGGGATGAAAAGACTTATTACTCATTGACAGAATTGGACACCGGCCAATGTGTAGCATACTGTGTCTAATAACAAGCTTTCCTAGATTCAAAATTATATTTTAATCTTGCAACTTGAAATTCGCGTGTATCTCTACTGCGTTGCAATGTTGTAACTTCGAGAGGGGGAAAAATATAGAAAAATCGAACAATTCTTTTCAGTTAGATTCGTTCTTTTTCTCCACTTTTTCTCTCGTTTGTACGTTCGAGAATCGGAAATTAAATGAAGCGATACGCGACGGTCGAATCGAATGCCTCTTTTAATGAAATTGTAGCCGAAAGACGGTACTAAAGAACGCTGAGGAGGAAACCAGTTTAAATAAAGACCCCTCATGTGGGTCAGCCGGCGTGGCGTGCATCGTGCATGCTCGTTACGCAAGCTGATTCCATGGCATCACTGAGCTTTGTTAAGATGCATTTGCGATGCACACATGCTGTCGCGCCGGGTCCACTCGTTATGGACCCAAAAAAGCCACTATAACTCGACACTACGAAATTCTGCGTTACGAACAATCAGAAATGTCACCGAGTAAAGCATCAGTATTATTCAATATTTTTATAGCGTATAGATACGTATAAAATACGTGTGATTTGATAAATGTGCAAATCTCTTGTTTCGATGAAATTATATTTTTATATACAATGTTTTACTTATCGCGAAACATGCATTACTTTCTATTTGCCAGCTGTAAATGAGATCAGACCATGAAATTGAGAGTTGTATTTTTGCAAGGCTCTCAAATTTTATATATATATTATTTATATAAAAATAACAAATTTTAAAGAAGATTGAATGATGACTAAATTTGTATCACATTTTACAAATAGTGACGCTTTGAATATTTACCATACACCATAATGTGGATACAGTAATATCATTCTAATAATTTCTGTCCTTCATGTCCTTCCTTATTTGTAATATTTATTTTATTAATCAAATTTTCATCTATTCATTACAGGTTTGGTTGCACAACAGGAATTTTAATTTTCATTCAACAGTCGTGTGTCTTCTCTCCTGCTATCAAAATAAGAATTTAGTCAGTCTTCGATCATTATTACGCATCTCTATCGTAACGATTCAGAGAAATTGTAAGTTATTCGTGAGGTCGAGAGTGTTCTCGCGAAGCAAGTACGCGTGTCCCTCGGCGTTGTTTCGTGGAAAAATATTTTCCGGTAAATAGAACCCCGGGCGCGCAGAAAAATACAGAACCACGAGTAAGGCACGAGGTGGAGAAGAA